ATATATAAAAAATTGAAAAAAAAATTTATGCTAAAATTTTGAATTTCCCGCACCTTATATATAGTAAATCTTCGAGACTCTTTCATGGATAAAGTTAATTTATACAAAACGATAATTAATGTGTATATGCATATAAGATACGAGATATCAATGGTCACTAAAATACTAAGTCATTTAATTACCATTTATTTTTGTTCTTGCATCTTCCACACGGAGTCAAAGAAAAATGAATTTCAGATGTGCCCTACGCACATTCTCACGAGTTTGATAAGCTTTTTTGTGGGATGTGGGTGAATCTCTTCTTTCTGACCTCATCCAAACTCACCCACACCAAAATCAGGTTTTTCAGTGTAGAAACTCTCAGTTACAGCTGATAGTTTGATGTAAAAAACCTTACAAGCATTTGTCTCATTACCATTTTGATGTAGATAAACATATATGACAAGTTAATCTAAGAAGACAATGAATTTATAAACTGTTCATTGATTGAAATATGTAATTTTGTAGAATGCATCAATCTAGTCCAATGTTATTTTCCTATCGTACTAATCTCCGAATGACTAATTTCATCTTACATTTCATTGAGAAGAATTTTTTTCATAACAGCTTTATGTGTTTTTATCTGAATAGATTTAATACAAAATTTATCGTTTCAATGAAATAATATTCATTATATTAGATGATTATGATTTTAATTTTGTAACATTCTTGATATTCCTAACGGTATTTATATTGACAATCTTATGTTTGAAAAGTATCCTGTTTTGAAATTTTGTTGTTTCATGTCCTACTTGGTTGGATATATTTTCGACGATTTTTGCAGCTTTAATTAAAATTATCTTAGTGTTCTTTTTAAAATTCAATAGAAGATCCTAGATAAATGAATATTATTCCATTGAAATGATAAGTCTCCTATAAAACACTTGCAGAAGTGAAAGACATACTGATGTTATGAGAAAGAATTTTTCTCAAAAATATAAGATAAAATTATTCACTCAAAATTGATAATATGAATGCAATAGAGAAAAAGATATCTTTTGTAGAACTTTAAAAGATCTATGAAAAAAGAAATAGAGGAGGCAGATCAAACAAATTGATTCAGTCATCTATAGATAATCAGATCAAAGTGAAAGTTTTGTAAATCTCCTAACTTTCTTCTTAACTGATGATTTACTTCGAAAATATTGATATCAAATGCTATCAAAATTTGATGCTTTTCTTTAACTAAAAAGTAATTGACCAAAGGCAATAGTTTCTTGAAAAGAGCAACAACAATTATATTCGATATGAAAAGAAAAAGGCATGCATAGTCTGTGGAACCATGAGTCTTCTTTAAAAGACAACAGTTGGCGAAATTAACTTTATCACTCACTGAACTTATCTCAATGTACGAGGAAACAGTAGTTAAGAAAAAACACATTTTTTATATGAGCGCATAAGTAAATTTATAAAAATCATGACTTTTCAGAAGAATTTGAACAGTTTGTTCAAGATTTTTATTGATAAATTTACTAACAACCAAAAAATTTGTGTATAAATACTACATTGTATGGAAATAACTATTAAGGCTAATGATTCAAATGTTTCTTTGACTAACGAATACTTCAGTAGGAGTTAACAGACATGTTTTTTTTTGTTTTCAATGCAGAGTTCTTAAAACAATCAATGACATAGCTATTAACTACTTCTACTAGCGTTCTGCAAGATTTCAGCATCATCATTTTACAGATCGTGACCTTGCAAAGTTCTCTTTTATTTTTGAATAACTTTTGAAAAATTTATATTCCAAATATCCAAACACAAAGATTGCTTTTTTTTGGCGAGACATAAGATTTTCTTAAAGTTAATTAAAGAACCGAGTGAATATTTGTGATACAAGTCAATTCCAATGTTATCTGAATTTTCAATTATTCAGGAGAAATATATTTATTCAAGATTAGAAGACTTAACTGATAATATCTCAGAGTTTCTGAATTTCGTCGATGGCGAATGTCTGAGAAAGAATGTCTTTGCAAGAGTTCAAGAAATGACATATTGAAGAAAATCAGGTAATCTTATATTACAATAAAATCGAATGATCGAGTTTATGATCCTGATGATTCTTAAAAGTAGATATCAATGACAATTATTAGCTAGAAAAATGTGAATAAGATTGATTGATCTATTCAGAAGAGACAGACAATAAACTGTAACTGTGGAAAAATATTTTCTTAATCTAGAAGATTTGCAACGACTTGCTTGTTGAAACAAAACGCAAACTAAATTGATAATTGTCCCAAAATCAAAAAAAAAAAGAAACACTTCTCCAGAAGAAAAAGTGAAGAATACAACGAGTTTCTAGACAATAGAATGTATGGCTTTGTAGATGAACCGAAAACTCACACCTTATTGTATATATTTCTGTTTAAATTAAATTTTACGTGAAAAAAATTTCTTTATTTTATTTCGTCACATGTATGCAAAGTTTACTGTGTCAACAACAAAAAAAATATTTGAAACAAAGTTAAATAAGTTAGAACACAAAATTTAAATCAGGAAAGTAGATTGTGAGAAGAAAAGTTTGGAAGCTAATCGTCTCTCCTATTCTCAGTAATGAAAATAGAACAGGATTCAACATCATACTATTCATTGAAACAACGACTTCTTCCATAAACAGATATTAGTAATTTTGAAAAAATGAATAAATATAGATAAGCATATGAAAAAAAAATGATTAGCTAAGATATAATCATTTTTGTAAAGTTGTGATGTTATATGCGATTATCAAACGATGTTCGATGGAATATTTTGCAAAGCGATCAATTTACATTTATAAACATTTACCAAAAATCCAGAAATAAATTTTAAAAAAGTTAAATAAATTTAAAATAAAATCTAAATATGTTTGAAGTATTCTAGAATGTGTTTACAAGCCTTTTAGTATCTTTAGAATGTAACAGGAATATGGTGCGATCATTTTCTTACAGAATATTCTTTAGTGATGATCGAATTTTCGTTATTTATGATTTATTTTTTCTGAAGTCAAGCATTTTAATGATTGTATTGTTGAGTTTTAACTTATGCTTTTCATTAAAAAAATTCTCAGAAATTTACAATCTAAAATAATTTTACAGGATAATACCGCGCTTGTCAGGTATCGAACTGAACTCGAACCTGTGGAAGTTGGTTTGATTCCTTTTCTGATAGTTATCGTTAAATACTGTCAATGATGAATTGCTTTTTACATTAAAATATTCAATTTTTTTTGTATTGATAACAAAATAATAAAAAGTACGAATAATAAATCAAGAAAAAAGAATTATTATTTGAATAAAAAGAAACAATTGTGTAGTGCGAGACTTTTTGAATTTATCATTTTCAATGGATTTTCAGAAAACAGTTCAATAGGATGAAGTATGATAGCTGCTGTTACATATAATCTACTAAACCAAAACGATTCAAAGATTGTCGATATGGTTAAACAGAATATCAACATCTATACTCATATTCTTCTTGATATTATTAAAAGTACTGGTTATAAATGCAAGTTTTAATCCAGATTTGTGCAACTTTTTCTTAAACTCTAACGACATGGTTTTAAAAAGCCTTCATTAAAACTTCAATGGCTAAAATATGTTTAATGGATACATGTAATCGACTTATTTACTAGTTAAATCAATGATTGAAATCATAATAAAACATACGATATGAAATATAAATCAATCAGTCAAACAGAAATTAGAGCACAAAATAAATGACAATCTATTCTGATTGGTTTAGAAAATTTAGATATGATTGTTATAGTAGAGACCAATTCTAGTAAAAAGAAAAAAGTAGATAAATTAATTCTTGTTGCTAAGTTTTCATTTTATGAATTGATATTTTTAGTCTTTATTGAAGGTGTGGGTATGGATGACAGAGAGAGAGAGAATATATGATTCATCAACATATCCAAACAACATCTACATTCACACCGTATTTTGAATGTGTTCAAGTAAATCAGCATATAATTTTTCTAGATTCGATTCATTTATGAATGCTTGTTCATATGGACGTTAATGTTCAATATTCCTTAACTAAAATAAATAAAATAGATTTTTTGTTTTTTGTTGATATAATTGATATTTGCAGGTGTTCTTTTAATATACCTGCATATACTATTTTCGATCAGCAATAAGAAATCAACGATTGTCTGATTCTTCGGAACGAGCACTGAAACGTAATAACATCAATAAAAACCTTAAAAAGTAAAAGATATACAATATTATCTATGAAAATTCATTTTGACATTTCATGGCGAAATTTATTGATTTTGTATTGATCGTCATTCCTTCGGATTGCAATAAAGATTTTTTTGTTTTTTATTAATGTTTTACTATTTATCTTTTCCAAATAAATTTTAATTGAATGTGTAGGTCTTGATAATTTTTAAAAAGAAAACTAGGAAGAATATTTAACCATAGGCAGAATTTTACTCATAAGAGGGTGTGGGTGTGGGTATCATTATAGGTCTTGTCTTCACCCACACCCATACCCTGTGATAGATATGCACTTAACATAAGACAAGTTAGCCCCCATATAGCCATACATAGTGATTTTCTTTGTGCAATATTTGTCATTGATAATAAAGTCCATTCATTAACTTTAGCTGAATAACGTGCATTAATTAAAGCCCGAAAAAAAAAACTAATATGTGCAAGTAATAATGATAAAGGACGTAATAAAAGTAAAGCTTCATATGGTAATATTGATGATTGTTTAGTACGTTCATATAATTCTTCAACAAGTTCAATAAGAATATTATCTGATGATGATATTATTGATGAACTATCAATTGTTGTTTGTTCTTTATTAACAAGTTCATTATATTATAGATTTTGTATTTTTATTTGGTCGTTGTAATAATGTATAAATACGTGAAAGTATTAACACCATATATCATTTTTGGGATATTGACCAACTATTAAAAGTTTTTCAAGACTAATTGATATAATTTTTTGTGTTAAATTATCATCTTTAATTAATGATAATCAAATATCATATGAATTTAAATCAACTTCATGACTTTCAAGTAAAAATAAACATAATGTATATGCATGAGTTTTAGTTAATTTAAAATTGTGTTCAATTAAACGTAGATATAATTCATTATATTCTTTTGTTCTTTGTCCAAGTAATATACTAGATTTACATAAATTATAACTTATTAAGGATATCATTAAAACATCTTCATTAAACCATGTACAAATAAATCAGATAGATATATAATTGAACCTATTAATTTATATTACATATATTTCAATTAGAATTTGTAATGATAATGTTAAATCAAAACCATGATGAAAAAATAATCGATCAAATAAACTCTAAATTATATATTTTTAAAGATGGATGCCAGAAAAGAAAATGTTCATACTCTTATTTTTTGATTGATAGAATTTATTTGAAATTATTGATATAAGCTTTTATTTCTATGAAATAAGATAATTTGCATGTATTATATATCAAATCAAAGTCAGAGAAACACTAGATTTTCTGTTTGATGAAATTAATAATTTAGCAATGAATTTATCTTTCTTTAACTTAGAGTTCTATTTGTCGATTATTAAAACATATGTGAGACTTACATTAACTGATAATGGTAATGTATTATTACTTTGGATTGATGTTAATATAGTATCATATGAAAGTTGTCCATAGGATAATAAATCACGTGTACTTAATCGTTCAATATTTGTAAATAAATTATTTGAACTTGTATCTAATATTGATAAAAAAAGAACAGATAAAATCTAGTTTATTTTTCAATCTTGTTATCCTTGTGTTGCATTTGTTTCTAAAGTTTCTTCTTTTTTTTTTAAAATTATTTGTTGTTTGTTTATTTTCATCATTAGATTGTTTTGTGGTGAATTAATTGAAGCTAAAAATGAAGCCTATATTTCTTGAAATTGTATTCTTAATAATCAACCAACTCCAAAATTGTCTTCATATAAATATTGGTAAACAAAATAATAATATGACTATACAATATAAATCATGTCAATAAATATATGATATATATATATTTAATTTTTTTTTGTTAAATAATAAAGATGATCTTTTATCTGGTTCAATTAAATTTAAATATGATTATAATATATTTGATATAGTTAAACCATGTCGTTGATAAAGATATTCAAATATTCATAATAGTGTTTTCGATAATGTACAACATGATATTATTTGATCTATTTCACAACTAATAAATGATTTTTTTTTTGAAACATATTTATATAAATTATTTCTGATATAAATATTATAAAACGTAATAAATCACGTATATCACCTGTTGAAAATTGACATGCTAATTCAACATAATTTTATATTGTATCAAAATATATTGATAGAGAATCTATGAATGCAATTGAATATGGTTGATTATTAGAAGCATGATAAAAGACTTTTTTCATAAATTGTATTAGGTGTTGTTTCAATGTCATTTTAATTTGTTTCATTTGATATAAATATACAAAATCCTAGGAAAATAAACAAAGAACAGATTTATATTGTTTGTTATTTTTTCAAATTAATTTTCATTTACTATAAGAATCATCCTAAAAATTTAATGCTGTGAAAAAAATCCAATACGTTTTCGGGGTCCACGAGTTCAAACTTATAGAAAGTTTATCGAAATTCTCGAATGCAATTTATTTCGAAATACCATGTTAGAAAGACGTCGTTTTCTTTAATTGTAATAGTACAAATAGCACGA